TCTTTGCCTGATATTAAAAGAAACGACTTTTCGTTGTATATTATACATCGTTGGTAAATCCATAGGCACCTATGACAGCTCGGGACGGGAATGGTAATATGCATTATTTAATATTAATTAATGCATATAAATATACAAGTCTAGAAATACACACACATACATGTTGAAGATAATATATATATATATATATATATATATATATGTATTTTTTGTTTATACGTTCTTTTTATAGATACAGATATTTAAGCAAAGGCTCTTTTTATAATAAACAGTATTAACGACATTTACCGGCCTGAATGTCTGAGAAATTTTTATAGAAAATATGCGTCCTCCGACAGGAATCGAACTTGCTAACCGAAACGCTCCTCTGTGGCTAAATCGGCAAAGTACGTCAGGTTATCTGACAGTTCCGTATAGGAACATATAAACATAAAAATATGTCTTAAAATAATTGTCGGACTTTGTCTATTTCATAATATATACGCATGTATGTATATTTATATTACAATGAATCATTCATACAAAAAGTAAATTAGTAAAGTTAATGGTATAAAATTGCGAATTCACTTTGCTAACTAAATTTTAAAGATGCATTAACCCACTAACCACTTGATGAATATTACGATCCTTTTTTTTTTTTGTTTTTTTTAAAATTATAAACCTTATTAGGTTTTCCTTAAATATTCAAATACTTTCGACTATTCCTCTCGTCTTCATCAGGCATGGGAACTATTTTCTTTTTGATAAAATGCAGGTAGAAATAAGTTTTTTGAAATGTCTTATTGATAAAAAAAAATATTAGTAAAAAATGCTGTCGCTTAAATTTTCAAAAATTCATCCTTAGCGTTGCAACTGCACGCTCCACAAGTTCGTATGTTATCAATAAGATACTTCAAAAAAACTTATTTCGATTTGCATTATATTTTTTCGTTTCGGATGCTACCTGAATTTTACGAAAAACAAAATAGTTTCCATAGCTGATGATGACCGAAGGACCCGTCGAAAGTACTTGCATATATAGGGAAGACCTAATACAGTGAGTAATTTTAAAACACAAGGTTCATAGCATTTATCGAGTGATTAGTAGGTGAATCTTTAAATTTAGTTAGCGAAGTGAATTCACCATTTTATATCATTAACTTTACTAATTTACTTTTTTGAAGGAATGATTCGTTGTAATATAAATTAAACTGCACGACATATTTGATATATATGTGTGTGTGTGTGTGTTCAATTGTGTGTGAGTATAAAGAAGGCCTGTGTACTTCGACTTAGTGTAATATTTAGAAAGCTTGTCTCTCTAGAACACTTACGACTGATCAGTGAGTTCGGTCCTCACTGGGTGCCCCATACTTTCGGCCTTGTGCCACAACTAAGCTACGCTGAGAAAATCACCATAGAGTCTTAGGGCACCTCTGTGTGGTGCATTGTTTAGCAAGCTTGCTTCGCTAAAACAGTTACGATCTTCACTGGACGCACCATACTTTCGGCCTTGTCACATCTAAACTATGCTTAGAAAATCAATATACTTGGCCTTGTGCCAGAGTTGTGTCAGTTAACGCAATAAATCTCGAGTATAATGAATGCTAATTTGAATTGACATATATACGCATATCCATTCCAAATTTAATTGCTTATAAATAATAATCCAGCTCAGAGTAATGTAGGAAAGATAAAAGGTCAACAATATATATTAAATTATATGTATTTATATATTACTGTGTGTAAATACGATATATATATATATATATATATATATATATATATATATATATATATATATATATATATATATATATATATATATATATAGCTAATATTAGTGGTAAATATACATACATATTGAAAATATATAAATATATATACATAGGTACATACAAATATATGTATATTTTTGAATAAAAATTCCAAGAGGATAGAATCCAGGTAGAACTCAATGTTCAGGACAGAGTAAGGATATAATAAAAAAGGCTTCAACACTGATATTCCATGGTCATAATTTATTCCATTGAATCGTAAATACGATCCAATTCATCAGACCCACAAATTCAAAAAAGAAACAGAAAAACAACTCCGAAATAAAAATAGAATTTTGGATACGAGAGTGTGGGACGAATATTAGAGCTAAAGAGATACAGACGATTTAGGTGGGAGATTAAACCCAACAGAGAGTTTTAGAGAGGTGAGGAAGAGGTTTATGAGAGAAAATGCGAATGTTGTCGGATGTCTAATACATTAAAGATACATTTCGTGATATTATTGTTATTATTATTAAAGACTACAGACAAATTTCTCTATATATAACATCAACTATGAACACGTTCACAACGTACTGACCGTGATCGAAAAATAAAACATCCATATAAATCTGGATACATACATAACAGATGCCATTTATGTGCGATGCGTGATACACAAGACAATCATGTATCTTTCGCTACATGACTGACGAGGCCGAATTTTTCCCTGCAGTAGGTTGCCACTTTCTTCTGCGGTGCACCAATTGCCATCCAAGGCTATAGAACCTGGTCTATCCTGCTATTTAACCATAGCTAAAAAGAAAAAAGTATTCATACCTTTTCCAAAGGTGAGTCAGTTATGTGCCGTGCCTGATACACGAGTAGGCGATCATGTATCTTTCGCTACATGACTGACGAGGCAGAATTTTTCCCCGCAGCAGGTTGCCATTTCTTTCTGCGGTAGACCAGTTGCCATCCAAGGCTATAGAACCTGGTCTATCCTGCTATTTAACCATAGCTTGAGAAGAAGATTCATATCTTTCCCAAGGGTATTAGCACGTAAGTGAATGGATTCGAATCCTGAATCCTCAAGACGCTATCCATTACTCCACCGTGGTATAGCCGAATGCGCGCGGAAATGCAGAACCTCTGGACTTTTTTTGACACACTGTGTGTCCAGAAAAGAAAACTTTGATACGAACACAAGAAAAGTCAAATAAAAAGCTTAATCACAGTGCCTTGTCAGTCGTCTTTAATGAAACATGTGTAAAAGAGGGTTTGCTACACAAATACACAATTATATATATATATATATATATATCCATCTCATTATAAATATACATATAAATAAATAAATAGATATATATATATATATGTAGAGAGACAGACAGTGTGTGTGATTGACGTGTATTTGTGAGAGAGAGAAAAGAAAGAGAAGGTGTAAAAGTGTATTTATGTTTTAACTTGATGTCTGTTATTGTATTATCTATGAAAAAAAATTGTTACCCCCACACAAACACATGCTATATATATATATATATATATATATATATATATATATATATATATATATATATATATATATATATATATGCATGTGTTTTCTGACATATATATATATATATATATATATATAGATAGATAGATAGATAGATAGATAGATAGATAGATAGATAGATATAATGTGTATTTAGGCACAAGTGAATTCCTTTCTGGATACAGACTGTGTCCAAATGTTTTGTAATTCCAAGCGCTTTCGGCTATACGTTTACCCATTAACAAGGATGATATTATTTTTACTTTTTAACTAGATGTATGGATTGTGTGTATGTATCTAGAATGATAGCTCAGTTAGCATATTGTGTCGTGTTCTTTATTACTTAGTGTTGGCTTTTTCTTTTTTTCATTATGAAGGCTTCCATTATTTTTAATCTTTTTTTTTTTTTTACATGTGCTTGAGGTAATTAGGCTTTTATTTTCTACTAGAATGTTTCTGATGGAGTCTGGTAGGTTTTTATGTGTGCTTAAATTTGTTCAAAAGTAGCTGTGGTCAGCGCATATATATATATATATAAAGTGGATATTGAATCTTTAATTTATTTTTATTATTTCCATGAAAAAAAGCTTAGATGTATTTTCAAAAAGAATTTCCCTAAATTGCCAATGTAAACAAGCATGCTGTTGTAAATGGCGTGATAATAAGAAGACTAAGAAGATTGTCTGCTGCAATTATGAGAGAATCCTATTGAAAATAAGTAAACAAAATTTGTCTAAATTATTCAATGAGGCATGTCTTAATGAAAAAATGCTGCCAATATATATATATATATATATATATATATATATATATACGTTTCATTAAATAATATAGACAAGTGTTGACTATTTATTTTATGTAAATTTTTTTCATAACGTCTGATAAGTTTAATAACATCGTTGAACGAAGAAAGAAATTCAAAATATTGATCCATATTTTTTTAAATACAATCTAAGCTTTCGGCTTACATAAGCCATTATCAAAGATGTCAATTACAACATATTAAGCAATATACAGACAAGACAGGATGATAGTCTGTTATGGTTTACATAGATGATTTTAAGCATATATATATATATATATATATATATATATATATATATATATATATATATATATATGCAGTTTTTTATATTATATTTATTTTATATCAGTTAGAAGTAATTTATACAAAGAGTTAACTAGCAATTTTAATGAGATTCATGTCGGTCTACACTATAGATATCTCGTCTTGGTGTTTTGCTAGTATATGGGAAAAAAATTGCACCCTGAAGATGATAATTTGAAATTGTTGAAATACTCGGCTCGTCAATTCCATCTGACAACAACTCGAATATACAACAACTGAAATATATGGATCTTATTATTCAAGGAATTGATAGTAAGTTCATGTCTCATTAAGTCGTGTTAGCGAAGTGATATCGCCATTAATCTCATGAAGGTAGCTAATTAATTCTTTGTCTTAATTACTTCTTTATGATATGAGCAGCCACAGTGTTTCGTGCTTGAATGCAATCTTCTGGGCATGTATACATAATTAAACACGCACAGTCCCCAATATTGAGCACTTTTGCCCATTAGTACATCTTAAAACTACATTTTTATTATATATATATATATATATATATATATATATATATGTATGAAGAAACCGTTTTCATCCTTCCATTAATCTATCTAACTAAAAATGGTTATAGCAGTATATACATATAACCATCTCCCTA